ACGGCAGGGCAGGGCTGAGGCCAGGCTCAGTTGGAGAGGGGAGTTTTCCAAACACAGCCCCGTGGAGGCAGCCCCTTCTCTCCCCTCAACTGGCCACCCTTGGGATAAACCCTTCATTTAGTCTTCCTTACATTCTAGAGGGGTCTGTTGTCCCATTTTACAGGTGAGGGCACCGATGGGGGGGTGGGGGGTGGGAGTAGTGACTTGCTCAGAGTCAGAGCTAGTGGAGGCCTGTGTGTCCCTCCTGAGAGAGGGGACCCCACCTGCCTGCCTTTGGTCTCAGCTCTGGCTGCTGCACACACCACCCTCCTTACAAATGAATGATACATGGGGCCCTCCTTCTGCAGTCTCCGGAGGGAAGTCTTTCAGCCTCTCCAGGGGGCTTTGGTGATGCCGATTTGGGCTTGTTTCTCTACTTAAACTGCACATCCTAATGGGATCTTGGAAACATGGCTTCCTAGGTCTCGAGTGTGATAACTGAACTCAGGGCTGCTCTGTTGTGGCAAAAACCAAAGCTTTGAGCTGGTATCATAAAGGCTGTCTCTGTACCCTGCTTCCCCATCCTGGACCCGCCCCATGTCCCTCCTGAACGTGCTGACTTAGCCCTGCTGCTGCAGCCTTCCTGTGAGGGGATGGCCTGTGAGAGCAAAGATGCTTTTCCAGTTCCTTCAGTTTGTATTGATTATTAGGAACTCCTTGGGGCAGAGAGAAGGCAGGTCTCTTGGGAGGGAGAGGAGGCCTCCGAATCTATTAGGTCTCTGCAGTTTGCTCAAGCCCAGGAAGATTCCTGAGATTAGAATAAATTAATCTGGGCCAAGCCCGTGGCGCACTCGGGAGAGTGCAGCGCTGGGGGCGCAGCAGCGCTCCCGCCGCGGGTTCGGATCCTATATAGGGATGACCGGTGAGCGCGGTGCGGCCGGTCTCAAAAAAAAAAGAATAAATTAATCTGTTCCTTTGACTAACTCTTCTGGGCACCTTTGAGCATCTTTTATGTGCCAGGGCTGGGTTCTGGGGAGACAGGCTTCTCCGTGAACTTGGGGTGGGTGGGGCATTGAGTCAAGAAAATGGGTAATTAAAACAGGATTTCAAGAGAGGTGCCATCTCTACGCAGGAGCTAGGGACACATCCCAAGCAGGAACTTCCCTCCCCTCTCCTGCTTCCAAGCAAGACATGACTTGGCCAAGGAAGTGGGAACCCTGGTATCTCCTCCAGGAAACCATCTGCCCCTCCCACCCTCCACTGCAGGCCGGTGAGGGTGCCTCCTGTCTGCCCCACAGCCCTTGGCACCAGCCCTTGCTATTGCAACTTTGTCCCCTGATGTGACCTCCCGTCGGGGACAGCATCTGGGTCCCCAGCATCATTCAGCACATGGCCTACACTAAGTAATTGTCAGTGAAAGTTGGTGAATGAATGATTGAATGAATGCAGAAATAAATGAAATAGAATCCTACTGGGGGAAGGAAGAAATGANATCAGGGACAGCATCTGGGTCCCCAGCATCATTCAGCACATGGCCTACACTAAGTAATTGTCAGTGAAAGTTGGTGAATGAATCATTGAATGAATGCAGAAATAAATGAAATAGAATCCTACTGGGGGAAGGAAGAAATGAGTCTACTGTGGACAGGCCAGTTGTAAAAAAGAGGAAACCAAACGAAGAGGGGTGGAGTGACAATGTAGTTTAGAGTAGCAGCAACAAGTTATTAATTTGTGCTGTTTATTGAGCACCTATGTGCTGACACACTGGAGTCCTGGACCATCAGAGCTCCTGCCAGCTTCCCCTTGGTGTGTGAATCAGCAAGCCTGGCCCTTGCAACCACGTATTCAGTGTAAATGGCACTGAACTGGCCACTATCCCTGGCAGGTAGCTGGAAGCTTGGACCTCCTGGGCTGGTAGGCCTGACAAAGCCTGCCCAAAGGTGAGCAAGACTCAGAAGAAGCAGACAGGAGACAGCCCAACCTGATGACCTACTTGGAGCCCCTCTCTCTATCCAGGCAACCCCTAGATTGACCTGTTCCTTGGCCAATAAATCCTCCTTTTTCTGCAGCCAGCTTGAAGCTGGTTTTCTGTTACTTGCAACCCAAAGGTTCCTAACTGATACTTGCAGTTGGGATTTGCACAGGGGTCTGTCTGTCACCATCATTCTCCAGTTAAGTAAGATGCAAAAGATGGAACAGAACTCAAGAAGGAGCCCAAGATCAGAGGCTCAGGTGGGAAAGGGAAGGTCAAGGGAAACCCACCACATGGAAGTACACTGGGAGGCAAGGAATGAGGGCAAAGACTGCAGAGGGAGTCCATAGATTCAAAAGAATGTTGGGGATCCCACGACAAGCCAAGAGGGGAGTGCGGTGGGCAGGCCATGCTCCTTCCAAGCCACTTGACACCCCACCTTGCCTAGTTCTCACTCAGCCCCTGCCTGGCACCCAGGGCTGGGCTGGTTGTGACTGGGAAAGGAGTGATTGATGAGTGAGACCTGCTGTGCCCTTTAGGAGCTCACAGTCTCATGGGGAGCTGCCTTGTAATCAGAAGTGAAGGATTACAGCAACATGCAGTGATTGGTGTGGATGGTGCCAGACCAGGGACGTGGGAGCCCACAGGTGGCCCCAGCTAGTCTGGAAGGCTTCTTGGAGGAGGTCCTGGGCCCAGGGTGGCTGCTCCCTGGACAGCTCTCCACCTAACCTGCCCCGAATAAATAGCTTATCATTATCCCTGAAAATGCTGCTCTCCTTCTAGAGTTCCATGCTTCCCAGGACAGACCGTCTAAGTCACTGCAGGCTCCTCCTTCCTGCTCCCTCCTCCAGCCATCAGTCCTGGTTAATTAGAGCTACCGCTTGGTGACAAATGCCCTGGGCGAAGCCCTTCGTTTGGTCCTCAAGCCCCCGAGGTGGGAACTACTTACACCCGGTTGACAGGCAAAGGATCAAGTGACGTCAGTCTCAAGCTGCTGCTGCCTCACCACCAGTTTCCTTCTGGCCCCTCCGTGTCGCTCAGGCCCAGGATGTCCTATCTGCTTCCCCAGCCCTTCCCCAACTTGTGCACTCCTCAAGGCCGACTTCGTCACCTGGCGCCCGGACCCGCCTCTAGGCTCACCCCTCAGTCCAGCTCCCCAGCCGGCCGGTACAGCCCAGGACAGCTTCCTGCCACACTGCTGGACGACCTCCGGCAATGCCCCTTTCTCAGAGTCCCTGGGTCACCTAGGGCCACCTGTACGCCCCTCAGGGCAGGGACGTGCCTTTTTACTGCCATACTGATAATAACTGACAGCTACTAGAGCAGATCACCCATTTCACTAAGTCTTCGCGTGAACGCCCCGAGGCAGGAATCTTCACTTCCCCCGGACGTCCCCCGCTCAGTCAGTCAGTCAGTCCGCCCGGACTCAGCCCGCGGGTCACGGAGCCGGGCCGCCCTCCGGCCTGCGCGCGCACCGCGGGCACCGGGCGTCCTCCTTCCGGGGCGTCCTTCTGCTGACGCTGCGACTACAGCCCCCAGAATGCACCGGGCCCGCGACCCCGCGGAGCCCTTTTCAAACGGACCAATGGGCAGCCCGCGCCGCCGGCGCCGCGTTTAAACCCTTGGCGGAGGCGCATCGGGCGTCGTCGGCCGCGGCGGGTGAGGCGTTTCGGACTGGGCG